TTATCGAACTTGGTTAGGCGCTGTTGTTTCTTACGGGCCCACGAGGCGTTTCACTGCATTTTGTCTACTTGAGCTGGAATTGGAGTATGGGTCGGCCACATTTTTGTAAACAAATGAAAACCGTACAGTTATAAAATTTTTAAGCACTGCATAAATGTAAAGTGCCACGTGGAAATTTCTTCGACTAGCACTTTGCGCTTTATTTGGTCTTGCACCATTTTTAGGTTGAAACTCAATAAACAGGAAAAGCTAACAGTCGTAGGCATTGCGACGCCTCAGATAATCTTTCGAGTTTTACAGTCTGCACTGTCACGCATCATTTTTAGTTGCGCATCTTACTGCACACCTGCTTGATACAAACCTGTCTGTAGAAAATAGTACAGATTGTATTTGCTGCGATGAGTTTGATAGGCATTTAGTTTTCGATGTGGATTTTGTTTCAGCAGGTTTTGTTATACAGATTTGGTGGTTTTATTATTTGTTTGATAGGTCTGACCGTCCATCGACGATTCTCGACCTTTTGAGTGTACAGAATAATTTATTCTTGAAATGAGGAAAATCGGGAAGATTGGTTTGTAAATAGCCTTCAAAAGGGAAGAACCATCAAAGATATTATTCCAAGTGCCTGCTGATTTTAAACGATTATCAGTTCCACAACTCACAAGCATTTATTTTACTCTTTTAACGAATTATTCCGATGGTCCTGAAGTAAGCTGGCCATGGTTCCCAGAAATGTGCAAAGGCGTTTGTTTTACTGTATGAAAGAAGCAAATATATCTCAACAGTTCACATCCTACTGAAATTTTGTAGCCAAATAACTCGTCAAATTTGTGCTCAGAAAAAAAAATTGCGCTTGCAACTCTACTTTCAGCGAATTCCTCACTGAGCATCCAGATGTCATGGATGATATCGAAGAGCTACTTCAAGTAGGATTATGGACAAGCGCGGCAATTATTATTGACAGATCATCCAACAACGCGAAAGCTGCGGCAGAATTTCTGGAAAAAATGCCAGGAGACTGGCCTGCAACATGCAGCTCTTTTATTTTAAAAGCTATGGAATCGAATGAATACTGGTATGGTCTGGACGAAAAAAACGCTGGAGCTGTTCTGGACCGCATGGCCAAATTTGTAGTGGGGCTTAGATCTCTGCATCAAATTAAGACGATTGCTGATATTGCGTACAACCAAGCCGAAAGGTTTGTGGTTATCATGTTTCACTTTCAGGAAATTGTAAATCACTCGCGTCTATACGACGCGAGTGACTTACAATTTCGTAATGCAAAGGGCCACCGAAGCGGAGAAAGACAGGAAAGT